GACCGACAGATATACAGACCGACTGACTGACCGACAGATATTCAGACCGACAGATATACAGACGGACTGACTGACCGACAGATATACAGACCGACTGACTGACCGACAGATATACAGACCGACTGACTGACCGACAGATAAACAGACCGACTGACTGACTGACCGACAGATATACAGACCGACAGACTGACCGACGGAGAGAAAAATAGACGTAGGCAAAAACACCACCGACTCAATCACAACATCGGTTTCTTTAACAAATAAAAGTACTTTACCAACCAGGAAACATAATCCTAATGTAAATCGACTTATACCAGAACATCTGTTGCCTATAGAAGCTAAAACAACCTCAAAACAGACAAACATTCCACTTAGTGTGAATCGATTGGTGCGCGTACTCTAAAGCCCAGGGGGTACTTCCATTGCACCGCTGCTTTGACGCCCATTCCACTGGCGAGACGACCTAATTTAACCGATAATTTAATTTAAGAGTTTCGGTTATTTTTGCAAAACTTTTTTGCCACTTTTTCGACGCATTTTTTTGCCTAAAGTGCCCTCAAAAGCAATTCGTTTTACTCCAGTTTTCAACTGGCTGCGCTGCACTCCCACCTGAAAAACAGGTGAGTACCCCCGGGTTTTAAAGTGCAATATACACACACGAACGATCCTTTTAACAACAGAAACTGACCGCCCGTCGTCGTCTAAAAGCAAAAAAAAAAAAAAAAAAGTTAGTGCAACATACTTTAGTATACAGACTGGTCTGCCGACCATAGGTGTCACTATATCAGTAAATATATAACAGGTCGAAATAATACAATATAACGACTTTATGACACTTCTGAACCTTAATAATCGGCAGTGAATACTAGTAAGCGTAATAAACGTAATTCTATATGGATTTACAAAAATGATTCATATATTTGTTCGTACTACTGTATGTACTTTTATTATCGATATATAATAATAGGAAAGGCCTTCCCGTTGTGTGCGTACGTATGTATAATTTTCGCCACATTATTCATGGTACTCCATGCCCTAGTACCGAAAACTAGTAACAACCTGGATCCGTTCAGGATATCGCCATAAAACAGTTGAAGGTAATCACTTGAAAAAGTCATTCAACAATGCCGCCAACGCCCCACTAATGGATGTACGCAGACCTCTAATTACGGGCAAGTTTTAATAAAGTGCTTATGGATTAATAGAACTAAAGTCATTCCCAGCTACTTAAATATCCGAGACGGAAATACCTAGGTAGTCATATCCCCGTCGTATTCGTACATCATCACAAATCCGCCGGGCAGACTATGAAAATATGCCTCGATAAAGTTGCTAGGATTTCCTTAGGATATATGTTAGGATATCCTTATACAAGCTACATCTTTCAAATCATTCAGTTCACTGACTATTGTACACAGTACTGCGGCGAAATTAACTAACAGCTTTGTCTGTAGATACGCATTTGGTGTTTGCGGTCGGCTAAGAACGTGTTGAGAGAGCCATATCAACGAATGGTGTCTCATTACGAGTTTTGTCAGGCTCCAGCAATGTGATAATATATTAGTGAGCGTTACGAGTAGGTAGCCACCCTTTCAAACAACTTTTCAACGAGCCGGATCTGTACTCGACAAAATGCCGGGAGCTGTACTAAACCTACTTCGAATTAGAATTAAATAAAAGCAAGGAACGAGTTCCTTAAGCCCCCCACCCCGGTTGACAAGATATTCGAAGAATCCTACTCGTATAATGAGTAGAACTCGTCTATTTGGACATATCTTAGTGACATGAGGAGATTACGTCAACTTGTTATATAGTAATAGTATCGTAAACGAAAATGTAATAAAAGCCAAAGTCATATAAAGTCAGAAACCGCAAATTATATTTCTTTGTTTTAGAGTTATTCTCGTTTTATAGTGGCAAATATTGACATATAATACAATACTGAGCGTAGTCTAGATAGTAGGAGTACCAACTATTGTGAGCTTTTGTTTAATTACTGTCCAGGAATCCAAAAAAAAAAAAAAAAATATTAGTACTGTCTGTAGAACTTATATGACAAAAGCATTTTACAAGATGGCTTCATTTTTATTTTCAATGTCTTAGAAAAAGACACCTATTTGGCCATTTTATTCATAATGATGCATATCTATGCATATTTACAGACACGTCTTGCATAATTAACATCTACCCGCCACCATACTTGTGAAGGCTAATTTGAAGCACATATCCCATTGACTTGTTTGTGCCCCTTATATATGGTTTATTCTGTAGCACCATCGTGTCCACTGTTCCAATAACATGGTCAGGAAAACAGTATACGGAGGGGGGGGAGAGATTGTGGGGAGGGGTTGTATGCAACACAATCCCCATGGTCTTCTCGCACTCAACGAGATCTCAGCGATTATTTACCAATAAAGTCAAATGTTGGGTCGTTCTGGTACGGGAGTTGTTGAATATATCGTTATTTTCAATTGATAGCCCAGTTCACGGGAATCAACTGACATAGTTCATCTCTCACTCTCACACGACGTCTGCTTTGAGATAAACCGGAGATTGACTGGTAGTTTACACACATCTGTTTAATCCCATTTCTTCTAATAGCACTATGTGATATTTTCAGTACTTTTAATAGTTTTAAAAATAATGTAGCTTAATTTTTTAGAAAGTAATTTTTGTTTTTATTTTTAATTTCAAATGTGTGTATTTGTGCAATTATTTTATTGTTCCCAGGCCTATAATTGGGCTTTTTGCCTGTTGGCTGCAGTTTAATAAACTGTTTCCTTATTTTCAGAAGAAAAAGACGCGACGCGTGCAGTTGATTTTCTTCAAATGCGGTCGTTACACCAGATGACCATTGGTATACAAACGCTGAACATACCAGTTCATTTCCAGGCATATTTTCGTAAAGTGCAATTTCTGTGCTCATAACAACTTCGAATATTATTCTAGCTTTTTAAGGGACCCTGTAATCGGACAAAGAGATAATATAACACTGTTCAGATATGCAAATGAAATTAATCACTCAAAAACTATTCATGCGTCAGTTATTTCATCATCGTGCCCAATACTTAATTACCACGGTCGATGAAATAAGAAGAAATCGCCTGTGATGGTTGAGAAATAATGAGTTTTAATGTGCTTTCATTAAATACTATCCGAAAATTAGACCCGGAACAAATAATACATAGGGACTATCGACTAGCTAATGAATATTCAAGAGACCCAGTAGTGTAATAAGGTTGAATATTGGAGTTTTCAGAAGTTGTTCATACTTTGTACATATATTGCTTGATGCTATGCATGGTCGTACGCGGAGGGGGAGGGGAGGGGGTCAACGACCAAATGTGACTATTTCACCATGTTTACTGTGTTACTACACGGGATTTTATTATTTTTACCGCTTTGTGTTGTTAAGACACGGGACACGGGAATTAAAATACAAACAACTTTTTTTGAAATAATTAAAAAATCTGCCGGGAACTACATTTACTAAAGCCAAAAAGGACCTATTTATAAATAAATTGAACTTTGAATAATTTGGCGATAGACATGAATAATAGAACGTGTTTTTGTGTGGGAACTCCGGTGCATCGCTTCCAACTTTCGTTCGTTCTTCGTTCGACACGCAAAATGTGAATGAAATTTTTTTTTTTCACTGAAAACGCCGACTTTTACCCAAATTTCGATTTTTTCCCTATCCTATGCTTCCCCGGTGAAATACTAGAAAACCTACGAAATCAAAATCAATATGTGTTCCCGTCGCGGTGCATGGTGACACAGCCCGTGCAAATAATGAGCTGCAACACGTTTGAATTTGACGTTTTTCTCAGAAATGTATGCTGAAGTGGGTAATTTACATGCCTCGATTTCATTGTAATTGATTTATATTAAAAGTTTCATTTCAATCGGACATTCCATTCAGAAACAACTGCAACTGATCAGCTACTATGCATACCCGTGCATGGTGCGATCATTAAAACAAATACGATATACGCTGCGAGGTGTCAGAGCGTATATTTTATACCAAGCTTTTTAAGCATGTTTGTTCGTAGTTGGATATCCCAGGTATCACACATGGGGTAACATAGCAACTATAATTGCAGTTGTAAAAGTTGTGGTAAATCCGGCAAATAAAAATTATTTTACGAAATATTTTTTCCCCCAATGATTTAATATATATAAGTGAGAAATGTAAACACGTGATACAAGATTGACCAATCAGAGTTACTCATGAGCAAGTGTGTTCTACGATATAACAGTGTCAGACTGACAAACTCTACAGACAGAAATCAGTACACGTTTGCAGATAACGATGATCGCGATATTTAAATACAGTGTTCTCAGTATCATATACTATAATATGCCACTTATACATATTACCAATACCAACACAGCACTGGTCATGTCACGTCACGATACGTGTGTACGAATACGCAAAATATGTTTTGAGTTAGAAGTCACGATATAAGTGGCAGTCTCATGCAAATTCCTGCATACCCTGGAGAGAAAACCGATCACGAAGCAGTCGGTAATGGATGCCCTCATAAAAATGTAATGGGTTGCTTCGTCGCGTCTTGTCGTTTATAAGCCAGCGAACCAACTGACTGGAAATAGAAATATGTGCTTTTTAAAATTGCGTAATTTATCGCGAATCTTCTCAATTACTGTAGATATCCTGGTTATGGAGAGTGGTTGCCCTTTTGATAGTCATCGATCGGTACACGTATCTCTACATGTAAGATTTGTTCTCACGTTGTTAGAATGAGTCATTGGTATACGGTTACGATTATTTCTCGCATAAGGATGTTATCGGATGCGTGGTGCATGTTGATTATAAATCTACAACATCAGATTACGTCACACTATTAAATAATGTATTATGGATATTAACATACATAGACAATGTGTTGACAGTGAATAGCAGTGTAACATGAAATCACTATATATTTCGAAAGTCAAAGTCAAAGGCAATAGAAACCTTCAAACGATTCGCGATTCTCTTATATCCGCTTAAAGATTCTCTTACAAGTGATGTCACCAACGATACAAGTCATAACCATTTCGTCGTCGATTATTTCTCGTATGACGCTATGGTGTACTTCTTTTTCCTCTGATTCATTAAATACCAGCTTCCCGTCTTCCCATTTAGCTATCATGGTCTTTATCTCACCGCTGGGAGAGGTATCTTGGAAAGGCTCGCCTATTCGGAATTTCTGCACTAGCGTTGTCATGGGAACGCACATCTTTATCTCCATCTCATCTCCGTTTTGGATGATCTTGCATGTCGGGGTCATAATGGTTGCTGCTTTTCTCATTATTATGCCAACGCCCATTCCATTTAAATACTCCTCGAAATTCTCGCTTCTGGATAATTTCCACGATCCGCTGAAGTCTATCGATGCCGCCATTCTATGCCGCTTGACAACGTGAGTTGTTTGGAAATGTGCTTCTATTAACGTGCTGATATGCAGCTATCGATGACCGATCACTGTCTCTGCTCCTCACGTCTGGCTTGTAGTCTGTCACAACAATGGTAACCCGTGTAGGCGTTTCCTTTTGGCCCAGATGATTATGTCACGTGAGCAATAATTATACTGACCAATATATATCCCTGAAATAATTATGGAATTCAGACAGCACGTGATAAATTATATCGCGTTACAGTTACGGTAACAGGAGAACAATATCGTATTGCCCCAGAGGAAATGGAGTTTTCTCAATTTATAATATTTTGTGTTAATTAAAGCAATTATAGCTAATATGTCATTCTCTGTTAATTAAAGTAATAGTCGTAAGATATCATTCTCTGTTAATTAAAGCAATAGTCGTAAGATATCATTCCCTGTTAATTAAAGCAATAGTTTTAAGATATCATTCTCTGTTAATTAAAGCAATAGTCGTAAAATATCATTCTATGTTTATTAAAGCAATACTCGTAAGATATCATTCCCTGTTAATTAAAGCAATAGTCGTAAGATATCATACTCTGTTAATTAAAGTAACAGTCGTAAGATATCATTCTATGTGTATTAAAGCAATAGTCGTAAGATGTTATTCTCTGTTAATTAAAGCAATAGTCGTAAGATATCATTCCCTGTTAATTAAAGCAATAGTCGTAAGATATCATTCTCTGTTAATTAAACCAATAGTCGTAAGATATCATTCTCTGTTAATTAAAGTAAAAGTCGTAAGATATCATTCTCTGTTAATTAAAGCAATAATCGTAAGATATCATTCCTGGTAATT